TCAAAAGACACCTGCTGTCGTTCGTATGACTGGGTACTATTGGATTCGCTCTGATGGAGCGCCTACCAGCTAAAACCCCTCTCCCTCAAAGAGTTTCACATCCGTTTGATTGGGTCATCTTCAGCCGTATGGTTTAGGATTTTACGTGTCAAAAGAACTTTTGGGTGTTTCCCTCCGGACCAGGATAGGTGGAAGCCCCCTCCAGCTTCCTTTTAAGAACCGTGAAAATGGGGGGTGATGGTTAAGATGAGAAAAATGAGACAGACGGAATGAAAACAGAACAGAATGAATAATTATCTGTCGAATATTACTGCTCCGGCATTGACACAAAGAAATTACAGATGACGGACCTCGGAATCGAACCGGTATCCTACCCAAATGCTAAACCGTGGTGTAAACCTCCAGGTCTCTAGGTCATGCCGCTCGGTTCATTACTTTTATAAAAAACTGCTTCTCCTTTCACCTATCCGCACTGTTCGCTATACATCCTACTTCCTGATTCGCCCGACGCGTCTTTCAGCTCACACGAATGCAGTTATCCTCAAAAATTAAAAAGTTGTTTTCAAATTTAGCGATTTAAGTCCGATTATTGAGGTGGTGGATATTCTGCCCTTTAATAATTCGTATTGATTTTGGACTATAGGTACATCAGAGCAAATAATCGCCTATCTAATCGCCGCATACACAAACTTTATCTACTACTGAATACACAAAAAAGTGTTTGTTTAATTTCTATCAATTACAGTTGGCGGGTGAGTTGTCCCACTGGCCTACACATACTGATACAATGCAGTGGGTAGGGTGAAAGCTACTCATTAATCTGCATTAGTATTTGTAGGAGTAGGTGGATGATGATGAGGGAAGATGGACAGAAGACAAAAAGATGAAGACATTAAAGTAAAATCAAATCAAAATTGGCGATGTTCGCAATAAATTATCTGTGAGAATAGACGTATCTCCTTCCTTGTTGTCACTTAGGACTGTAGTTTTATTCTGCATTTTGAGCACGCCCTTGTTAAGTTAGGAAATGCTTCATGAGTAGTACAGACAAAATGAAAAGAGATAACCGAGTAACAGTAATCAGTGCAGCAAAAACTTTTAAAAACCTTTATGTGTTTCATTCCCACCAGCCGCTAATGCTGGTGGGCGGGCAGTCGCTCCGGACTACACCGGAAGGTAGGACGGAAGGCCCTCTTCAGCCTCTGTGGGTGGGTAGTCATTCGGGTGAGAAAAATTAAACGGACGAAATAAAGACAGAAAGGAATGAAAGCTTAATTTTACTGCTCCAGCATTTGCCTAAGTGATCCGAATGCTAAGCAATATTCTAAACCGCTAGGCCATACAACACTTAACACTTAGACTATTTATTAATATTGTCCACTTCTCCCTTGGCGATATTAAATGTAAAACAAAGACTCGGAACTCCAAATAAATACATGTACATTTAGCGGTTGTTTTCCTAAAAAAAAAGAAATAGTGAATATGTGAATATCCAAGTAAACCACAGAAAAACTTAGACCAAAGCAGACGGACCCGGAATCGACTCAGCATCCTCCCGAATGCTAAGCAATGGTCTAAACCTCTAAGCCATGACGCACGGTTCAGTGCAACGGTAAGAGGTTACTTAGGTACGTAGAAGATTAGGGTCGGTTTTCTGCCTGGTTGGAATTATATCTTTAAACAAGCGCCTTTGCTTTCCTAAATTCCTGAGAATAGGGAACATTCTTTAAAGTCCGAAGCTGGCAGCGTGCTCAAATTCTGCTTGTCTGCATCTCTTTTTGTTGCACATGAATTGGTGTAATGTTATTCCTTTTTCTTTATTATTGACCGCTGCAATTCCTGCCTGTCATCTCTTCTCTAATGTTTACGATATTCCCTACAACGTCCGTCGTGAGTAAAAGTAGGCGTTCTGTCAGCAACCGCTCTAGTCAAGTTAGTAAGACAGTTTCATTACGGACTATGCCAATTTTAGAGGGCTAAACCAATCAATGATCTGTCTTTGGTCATCCCAGCTGTGTAGATCGGAGAATGAGTATGAATAGGTAGTAATCAATACTTAAATATTTATTTGCAATTTTCACACTCAGTCGTCGCGCCGTTTAATTTGTTCTGTTTAATTATTTATATTGTCCGTTTGCTCTCATCAGAGAGCCGCTACTGTCAAAAAACATACAAGTAATAGAATAGCAACTAATAAATATATGTAGTATCTGATTCAAAAAACTTTAGACTTGAGGTGAACTGTTCAGTGCCTGAAAAAGGTAACTGTTCCCTAAGAGTATTTCGGACGTTTAGTATTGTATTATGACCATGGAGCTTCTGCTTTTTAATGTGTTCTACTCTCAGAGCGTTGAAACAAACCGAGTATTCTGTGACTTATATTTTATTAAAACGTTTCATCAAGATTATAACGCCGAAAATTGTTCAATTATTATTAAAAAGATATGGCGGATGCACCGGGCATATTGCAGCTTAGTTCGTAGACGTAGCGTTAAAACATGGACTATATTTCCTTATGGAAAGGAATGAGGGAAATGTTAACAAAATTCAACAAATACATAAAGGAAAGAGGGTTGGAATTAAATACAGACAACTCAAAAATTTTAAGAGGGAAGAAGGCAGGAGGAAGAAAGAAAAAGGTCGAATTCCAATGGAACGGAAAAACAATCGAAGAGGTTACAGAATTTAATTACTTAGGCTTCATATTACAGAGGAATAATGGAGTAGACAAGCACATTAAAAATCTGAAAAAGAAGGCATTAAGTGTAATGGGAAAAGTATGGGGAATAGGAGAAAGAAACTTAAGAGATTGCTGGAAAAAGAGAATGTTTCTTTTCGAGACACTAGTAGAAAGTATAATAATGTATGGGGCAGAAATCTGGGGATGGGAAGAGAGAAAAGAAATCGAAAGTATTCAGGACAGATATATTAAATGGACACTAAAGCTAGATAAGAGTACTCCGAGATACCTTCTTCAGGAAGAAACAAAATATGAAAAACTGACCATAAAATATTCAAAAAGGGCCTTAAAGTACGAAGAAAAAATATTAAATTCCGAAGGCAACGCAATACTAAAAGAATGTGTAAAAGTTAAGGACAAAATTGCGCTCTTGCAAAAGGAAGAAAAGAAAACCACAAGGGAAAGATGGAAAAAAGAAAGAAAGAATTTTTTAATGGAGAGAGGATGGTCAATCAAACATTATATATGGAAGCTGGAAAATGAGAGAAATGTATGGAAGGAACTAGAAAACTTAACTAAAGATATTGACAAACAAAGAAGGAGAGAGAAAATGAGAAACATGAAATTCGCTCAAGAGTACAAGATATTATGGAAAGAAGGAGAAGAAAAACCTCATTATTTGAAAGATGAAGGAGTAAAGAGAAAAAACCACCTACAATTAACTGCAAGATTCAGATTGGGAAGTGAAAATAGAGCGTCAAGGTACTGGGAGGAAGAAGAAAAGAAATTATGCAGATTATGTAGAAAGGTGCCAGAGACGCTTGGACACATTTTTGAGCGATGTGGGGAAACGGGAAGTTCTGCAAAAAGCTGGAAACTTCAACTGGAAGGAGTGAACAACATGAAAAGGATGAGAGAAATCTTGTGGAAGAGAAAAATAGCAGGAGAAGAAAATTAATAAAAATTGTACTTTGTATATATTGTAGGAAATGGGAAAATTCAAATGGAAAGAAAGGATGGTCTAAATAAGATGAGAAAAATATGAATAAGGAGGAAAATAGCAGAAAAACGAGAAAGTAGAAAAGAGAAAATAAGTAAATGTAAATATAACTGCACCTTTTGTATATATAAAACATAATGTTTTTAATAAAGCTATCTATCTATCTATCTATTTTCTTATAAACAATATGTATGTAAAACATTCAATTAAGGAAAGACGTATATCAAAATAATCCCAAAATACCGTCTTTTAAAGGGTGTGCATTTTCCACGGGATGAAGTTCAGATTTTACTAGGTAAGTGACATTTTTATTATAATCATTTCTGATATTACACGGTTCTTTTTTACAACTGTTTTACGAAACAAAACGTATGGGTGAGAATATTGAATTAAAGATAAGTAATAGAAATAAAATATTACAGAGGAAACTGGATTATCACTCTTTTGTACTCCTGTGACGTGAGGTATCTAAGGTATTTTACAAACAACAGAAACCACCCTCACCACTTCGAAGGTAACATAATCCCCATCCAATGGAATAAATTCAATCACTTTTAGACTAGCATATTGTTGGGTTTCATTTTTTAAGTAACTAATATTTGTTGGATTACAATGTCAAGCTGCATTTCCTCATTCTTTTTTATAAATTAACATTCAAATTTTGTAATATATGTCGATCAACACCATGACTATTTACAGTCACTCCTGCCAAGCAAGTTGACGTACTAAACACTAATTTGAGTTGAGCCTTGTTTGGAGAAAACTTGGAGAAAACAAATATTATTCAATAAAACGAACTAAGAGATAGTAGAAGCTGAAATTGCTCACAAGCAGTAAGGAATGAAGGATGTTCTAGCTTTCGGGAAATATAAAGATTGCTTTAGGATAGGAAGAAGTGAAAGTGCTTGAGGATTGAAGACACCCTGATAATGACGAAAGAACTGATACATGGCCCATGTAATTTAGAAAAAAAAAACTAGTCAGACTAGACAGTGATGAATTGTTTGTTTTTCTTGTAATTATTAAATTTATTTTAATAATCCAATGAATTTTAATAGTTTCATATAAACAAAAACCATACAAATGTGAAGTATAACGAAACTGTTCGGTATCTGACAGTCCTCAAACTGATGTTTCTTACATTGGATTATACCCTTGAGTGATTCACTTGCTTTAGGTACTCATCTGCATGTCATTGATTATATCCTTGTCCTTAACTCATTGTAAATTTGTGGTTATGTTCAACTTTAGGTCTCGTAACAAATTTAACTTGACTTTCTCAATTTTGAAATGAAGGTAGACATTAAAAATACATAGAAACTAAGAATTACTCTTTATTAAGAACTTAGCATAAAAATCTTTGGTACAATCAAAAGGAGCAGTTAATGACGAAATTGGTTCTGCGACGTTCAGAATTTCCTCACTAAACTTTTGCAATTCTTCGTTTCGGACGCTTGGATTGAATAGTTTGTTTTCTATAAACAAAAGACAACCTGTCGATGCCAAGTGCCTTACAAGGTCAACATCAAAATGTTTTATGTATTCGCTTGCGAAATATATGATTGAAAATCTATTTTTTAATTGGTCTTTGTTCTTCATCAGCGCCATCTTCGATAATGATACAAAGGTAATCGTTACGTCGTCCGGTGCAAAGCATTTTCCGACGCATTTTTCAAAACCACCCCCGTAAGAATCGACTACACGTTCTTGTGGCAATTGAAAGCCGGCTGGCCCTAAAATGTAATCGTTCACTTTGTGATGACTATATTTATCTTGTGTTTCCAATTCGTGAAATATTTGCATGAGATTTCTCTCTGTAACATCGGTGGCTCTATGCACGTTTTGACCATTGGAGCTTTTCAAAAATTCCTTATCTTCGCACTCCAACCCGTACGCCGCAAAAGGACCAGTGAGTATGTCTCCAAGATACCCGTAATGGAGGTAACTTTTTCCATTTGGAAAAACACCTATTCCAAATAAACAAAAGCAGACTTTTAAATTATAAAAAGTTATAAAAGTCGCAAAAAAGAGGTTCAGTAAGCTTTTAGTCGTTGGTTGTCTACCTACCTGTCAGTAAACAGTACTACTAAAATGAGATGATTTCAACAGATTTTGATTTTGTTGGAAACTTAGTGTTTTGCAAAACGGTTCTTGATCAGATTTAATGAAAACTGACTTAATTTGGTCTCGGAAAGGTTTACGTTTTTATGTAGGAAACGTTTTACATTCTTTCTTCTCGTGTTTGTTAGACCCTCACATAAGCTAATGTTTACATTAAGAATATCAGGCACCAACAACAAAATAAGAACCATACAGGTAATATACGGAGTCATTCAATAATTGAGCACTTAAAAATAATGGGTGATGGGAGTATGGTATGTTTTGGACAGCAAAAATCTCATTGGAATGCAAATTCGTTTGTTCATCAATAAAAATTATTGTCATAATCCCAAAATGTAGGGAAGTAAATATTAGGAAGAAATCTATACAATGAAAATACGATCAACATCATTAAAAACAGCACACCTGTAGGGAGAGATATAGGTACAGGAGCAAAAGATTAGTATGCTTAGATTTGCAGATGATATAGCAGTATTGACATCTAGCAAGGAGGAATTAGAGATAGCTTTAAATAAAGTGGAAGCGGTACTGACAGATCAGTACTGTATGAAAATAAATAAAACTGAAACAAAAATACTTTTCAGAAAAGGGAAGAAAAAGTAGGGAATGACCGAATATACAGATAGGAGACGAAAAATTAAAAGTAGCTGATTTTCGATATCTAGGAAGCCAGATATCTCAGGACGAAAGGAGTCGCCCAAATCAGTTCTATACTCTCGAATGGTTAATTAAGAAATTCGAAAGAGATGTTAAAGGTGTACGTTTGGGGCACGGCGCTGTACGGGTGCGAAATATGGACGGTGGGCGCGGTGGAAAAGGAAAGGTTAGAAGCGTACGAAATGTGGTGTTACCGGCGAATGATGAGGATACCATGGATAGAGATGGTTAAAAATGAAAAGGTATTAGAAAGAATAGGAGAATAAAGGACTCTATGGAAGTCAATGAGAAATAGGCGAGATAGATTAGTAGAACTCCTTCTCATGAAGGTCTAATCAAGAGAGGAAAGATTGGAAGTGCGTGTCTAACCAGTCTAGGACCGACGATCTTATGGTGATGAATCCCAAAACCCCCTTTAACAATAGTACGTCTAATTGATACTTCAACTTTCGTTGAACGACGTTCAGTGATCGGTGGATGCTTTCTGAAGATGAAAAGCCAGCTCATATTCGTATAATACGTAGTTTAATCTAGTTAATGTGTTAAGAATGGCTAAAACAAAAGTTTAAATATAGTTGGATCTCGGTAAATTACGAATAGCAATATGTCCCAGTAGTTGAATTTATAGCAGAATTACTTAAAGTAGGTGTCGATATAGTTCATAACTTCATCAAAAAGAAGCTTAGTACCTAGTGTAAAACGAGAGTGAAAGGTGGGTTTCGAAATAATTAATGCGATAAGAAAAGGACACTAGACCCATAGTGTGCACAGAGTTTTGAAGAATATTACGAAAGGAAACATGATATTTTCTTTACATAGATTATGCGTGATGAACCTGGATTGGTCATTTTGAACCAGAATCTAAAAAATAAAGCATAAAATAGAAGTGTATTCGTTTCTTGGCCAGGAAAAAATCCAAAACTAAAGTATCAGTATTAGGAAAAGCAACGGTGGTCACATTTCGAGATACACAAACGGTCAGACCTTTTGCTATTTGCCTGGAACAGTGAACAAAGCGCACTACTCAGCCATGCTTCTAAAGACAGTGGATCTTCCAGAAACGATGTGGTTCTCCTGCATAATAACGCTCTACTGCCTTCTTCATACTGCCCATTTAACCAAAGAAACCACCAACAAAATGGAGTAGGAGAAACTACCTCAAATTTTAATTTGTGTAATCGACTCAAGGAGGCATTGCAACAACAGAAGTTCACCAACAATTAAGAGTTGAAAGGATTTGTGGGAAACCTACTGAAATATTAAGAAAAAAGCTTCTTTACAATAAAGATGATGAAGCTAATGCATCATTGGTGCAATCATATTACTATTGGTGGAAGGTATGTACAAAAATAGTTAATAACAACGGCTTTCACGGCCGAAATCCATAGTAGAATGAAGATTCGGACTGTCACCCAGTCGCTGTCGAGACCTCGAGATATAATCTACGTTCACGTTGTCGACGTAGCACCACCACTGGGGATGTCAGCCGCAGTAGCTGACGAAACGTCTGGACAAAATAGTTCACTTAGACCGCGGCCCTATAGCCCGAATCCTCATTCTACTAAACGTAGTTAATGTTTTGTAAAAATACGTCACATATATATTGTAATTGTACCTGTCACAAAGGAACGATTTGGTTTTGAAAAGTCGCACTCCATCCAAGTAAATGCGACTCCAGTAGTCCGCCAGTGTCGATACTCTTGACTACAGAGCTGTCTTCCGCCCCTGTGGTGCAGCTGCATATTGAGATCCCAATCAAACGCTCCAATTTTGGTATCGTATCTGGAAGTCATGAATTAGGTATGATTATGGTTTCCGCATAATGCAAAGAATGCTGGGGTAGTAACGGAAGGATATTGAAGAGAATTTCGCTGTTCCCAGTACATCCAGAATATGTGAACTGTGTTTCGTGATTACCATCTTATCGCTAAAGATAAGATGCTGATTTCTACGAATATAAATTTCTAATTACACAGGTCTGCGAAATTGTTTTTTAAAAGCTTTTTTCTTAAATTGTTAATATTTGTCGTAATTGTCTTAAAAGTAATAGAAAACGATATTCATATGGTGTATATCACGTCACATTAACCCATAAATGCTCAGAGAACACATTTCCATTTGAACCCTTGCCACGTAATGAGTGCCATGAAACAATATTCGATAATCAGTGTTTCTATATTTTTAACGATGCTCTTTTCGATGGTGTTGGTTAAAAATACCTCCGACAATATTAAAGCATGGAAAGATCGAAAATAAACAAGAAAAACATCTTTGAATTGACTCTACATATCATGAGCTTGATATCTACACATGAAATAATCACCGTTGGTCAAGTCGAAATGCCTTTACAAACAAAGTTTAATGTAACGTGATGGAAGCAATACTTCTTCGGGATCTTTCAAAATCGTATTGATGACATTTTTCACTCCGACTTCCAATTGCATTCTAATTTGGACATAGAAACACCGAATAACAATGATTTTGATTTACCATAAGTCCACTGTCTTAACATTTCCACACATAACCGGCTTACTTTACCGTAACTCAGTGTTTATCTTGGAACACAACTTCATTCATAAGCATTTTTTACAAAGTCTGTTATATTCAATATTTGCTTAACTATTGTATATTGTCCGCAAATGTAAAAAAATACATTTGAATTGTTTTTACAACTCCAAGAAGCCATAGTTAAAGATAAATGAAACACAATCTTTTATTACACGTTAATATTATATATCTCTCAATAATGGCGCGCTATAAACTATTTTTTTTTTTCAGGCGATGTAAACGATTATAGTTACTTTCAGACTATCTAAAATAAAATAAAAGACAATATAATGCTCAGTCAGAGAGCATTAAGTAGAAATATAAACTATAAAATGAATTTTGTGAAAAAACAAATAAATTTGTCGATTCAAAAAGCTATATATATATACATATATCAATCTACATACAGAAAAAAATGTGACGTGATAGGTTAAAACAATATTTGCAAATTATAGACCAACATTTGCATGCTTAAGATAAATTTTTACAAAAAACTTTTTTATCGCAGACCTGTGTAATCGTTTTTTTGTTGTAAGACGTTGATACAGCATTTACCATTTATTGCAATTTCTTCCTATTCGTGTGCTTCCTCATGCAAAACTTATATTTATATTTTTATTGTAAAGTTTCTTGAGCCGACAGCTGTATTTTATTAAGATGCAGGTGACGAAACAGTTACCAACTTTCCGTAAGTGTATACGTTACTATAACAACTATACCTAATGATAATAAAGCACACATAGCGTTTACATTTGTTCATATGTGGCAGTAGCAGTTTCCGACGATATTTATGTATATTGTGCAAGTTCGAATAAGCAAGCAAGCGATAGAAAAAAAGAAGGGACGGACGGGGCCCTTCTTAGATCGGTTCCTGAGTTAGATCTTTTCAATAGAAAAACGAAAAATAGTTCACGTATAAAGGCATTGTTACCGTCGAGATTTATACGTGGAAGCTGCTAAGGAAGAGATCTGTGACCATATTTTATTCTTTTGTTACGAGTCGGGTGCACGGGGGTCAAGAAAGCCACGGATCGAGGGGTAGGGCTGCGGCTCCAGACAAACACCAACCACCCCGTATACGCTTAAGCAAACTTCCGTTAGAATCTAATGAATTATAATTATTTTTACGGTTACTGCATACATTAGCTGCTACCATTAGATATTAGCAACATAATTATTCGCTGGATCCCTTACAGAACGCTTTTCTATTGCTTTTTCCTCCTTTTTACACGTGGTCTCCCCTGTCTTTTTTTAAAGGGGGTTAGGAAATGCTGCGTAAGAAACGGTGTGAAATGTGTTTTAATACTAGCATCTCTATGAGAAATTTGACTTTGCGTTATTATCGAAATAAAAGGATATCCAATTGTAATGATGCCTTGAAATATATTTATATACAGTAGAACCTCGATAAGATAAAGACCAAAGGAAACGTAAAATAATTTCTGTTATTGAGGTTTTTACTTACTAAGGGTTTAAGTTTAAGCTTTAAAATTATGGATTTCTAGTGACTTAGCAAACGCTTCAGCTTTTTCCTTTAGTATAGGTCCACTAACACTAATGTTTTTACATATTTCTACACTGTCTAAACCATGTAAACAAGAATTTTTTTAAATTAGGAAATTCAGCAATTCTTCGTCTTTTACATAGAAGACTTTCTCCCTATTCAAACCACTTTTCACTGCTTACTGAGGTGTGATGCCCAAATTATTCGTTTAAATTATAGAGGGTTTTTATTTTAAGTAATAGANTATGGATATAGAGAAGGAGGTAAATGGAAATGTATTATTGTATAGCAGCTGTCCACGCGGACGCATCGCTCACTCAAGTAGGAGAGAGACAGATGTCGAACGCTGCCGAACGCGGAGGCCGATTGTGCCTCTTTGTCGCTCGTTCCGCGCTCTCGCTTGCACTTCAAGCTATAAATGAAACGCCTCAGAGCGGGGTAACGCTGCATGAGTCATGTTTTTTCGTGCGTGCAGCCGGGCTCCATCGAATTATAAGACGTTGTCACGTCAAAAATCCAGGATCACCTGCCCACGATTTGCCAGTTAAATGATGATATTACCTTTGACACGAAGGAAAAATAATACGAGCAGTATTTTCAGCACTACGATGGAGTTTCGTTGTTAACGGATACAAACTGTTAAGAAACAATAATAGAAAAATTGAAATTTTAACTCTATATGGAACACGAAACCATTCCCGACTAGAATTTTGAGGGGGGTGCAGGTAGGGTCCCTGAGTGGTTAACCACACTGCCTCATGTGTGCCCCATCAGGTTGCCCCCTAGGACAAGGAAGAGGCGTATAACGCCTTGTCGCATTTGCGCATCAGAAAGAATGCCGCATGTGTCCCCCGCGGGAAAAAATTATTGCAAACTCATTAAAAATTTTTGGAAAAATGAACTTTATTATCTATTTATGAAAAAAATACAATATACCTATACACATATTACTTATTTGTAAAATTGTCTGCTCTTAAGTGTTATGGGCTGTTTTGTAGTCAATAATACTTTAAATTGCAATCGCTTTACTGTTGCTCGACCTGATGCGTCTGTTTTCAGTTGTCTTATAATAAGATAACAACAATATCAGAAAGTACACTTGCTGGTTCGTTGCAAATATAAAAGGTTTCATAATTGGGCAAGGGGATTATTATTATTATTATATTATTTTAAGTTTTTCATTTTACAGAGAGTATTTTCAAACGGATTTGTCTTATCGAGTCCCCATAAGCTAGATTTAATTGTATGTTTATACAGGTGATAGGTTTGGCCCTTAAGACCCATATGAAAAACCCAAGGCAATCTAATTTTAGTATCACCACTTTTTTCGGTGAAATTTTCATGAGCAATCTACGGGCAAGTCCCTATATCGGCATGGCCCTTCATTAGCCTCATGAGGCTCGCACGCTACATGGGACATGCCCCCTATAAATTATGGTCGGATCGATGACGTGAATTTTATCGGTATTTTAAGAGATTAATATACCAAATACAAACTATCTGTGTGTACCATTTGCTTATGGGATGAAATGGCAAGAGCATGTCATTGACATTTTTTTGGGAAAACAAGAAGTATTTGACATTTGCTAAATTAATTAGAATCATACCCTGAAGGTGATGATGTTTTTGTCATTTGAGTTATTGATAAATATTAAAAGTTCTTATTTTAAAACAATTTCTTTCTGAAAAAAAAAAAAGATAGTCTTCACTAATACAAACAAAAATTGAATTTCAGTAAGCAACATTTCATTTATGGATTGCCAAAAATAAGGAACTCCTAAAACTTGAGGACTACGAAAGCTTGAAGAGCACTGCTATTGATTTGACAAATAATTATAAAAGCAACATCTTTCTCTGATTGATTGATGAAGAGTGAGTATTTCAGAATCGATTTCTATAATCGAACTCTTCTTGATTGTGTGTGTGTGTTGTATGACTAGTTGTTTCTCCTTATAACTTACTGTTTGTTTCTGACCATTCCAGTTACTTGCAATGGCAGGAAGATCTTTATCAAAATTGAAAATAATTAAATGTTGAATGTGGAACGAGAATGATTCAGCTCTCTAGCTATAATTCTGATTGAAAATTACGAAATCAGAGAGATTGATATTTGGAATCTGGTGATTTTAATAAATAGCAGTAGTCAAGAGAAAATAAAAAAATGATCAATTATATGTAATGTACTTTGCGACTAAAACTAGTGTCAGTATTGCCTCAGCAGTCAGCAAAAGGAGAAAACAATCAAAAGAGTAGATAGTCATTTTCGAAGTATCATTTATTGCTAAATTAGAGCCAGATGATTATCTTAGTACATCACAATTTTGAAATATTTTAACTCCAAAATCCAAGTGTTACCAATTTGTCTTGTCTAGATTTAAGATAAGGAGATCTTGAAATTTTAATATTTTACGATAACTTTGGAGCTTCATCCAAAAATTATTACCTACTTGTACACTGGTGCAAATGTAATGATAGGAGACGAAACATTAGAAGAAGTGGCTGATTTTAAGTATCTAGGAAGTCAGAAAAGTCAGGACCGAAGGAGTAGTAGGGATATAAAGCAGAGGATAGCGTAGGGTTGAGTCGCCTTCAATAAAAAGAAATTACTTCTATGCTCGCGAACGATTAATTTAAAAATACGAAAAAGATTGTTAAAGATTTATTTTTGGAACGCAGCGTTGTATGGGTGCGAAACATGGACAGTGGGCGCGGCGGAAAAGAAAAGAATAGAAGTGTTCGAAATGTTACAGGCAAATAATGAGGATACCGAGGATAGAACAGGTTAGGAATGAAGAGGTATTAGAAAGAGTAGGAGAACAGAGGGCGATATGGAAGTCAATAAGAGATAGGCGAAATACGTCTCAGGCATGAAGGTCCAGTCAAAGACATAGAACTAGTTTAGATTACTGTTCGCAAATACTTAAGGATGTAGGATGTTTTAGGAAAATGCGAAGATTAGCTCAGGATAGGAAGGAATGGAGGTGCGTGTCCAACCAGTCTTAGGACTGATGCCTTATGTGATGATGATGACACTGAGGTCAATTTTGCGTTAAAATATTTCAAAATGTTGTTTTGATTGACCTACAATAAATTTTTTTTGACCCCCTCCCCCAAACAAATTTTACAACCCCCTGAGTGTCGTGATTCTCAGTTTGAGAATTGACGGTAATACCAATAGGCGGATCAATTTCCTTCTACTACTACATCAGTGTTCCATCTTACGGCAAGATTGAGAACTAGGACTTTCCATCCCGTGTGAAATCTATCTGCTTTATTTTCCCTCTTTGCCATATCAGCCGCCGTATACTTCTTAACTGAACACTGACCCGACAAAAAAATGACGCCGACTGCCGCACGACGCTACACAGTTCAGTGTACGTAACTGCGTCGGGATGCCCGTCGTCGCGCCAGTATCGACGTCGCCAGTCACGGCGTCGTCAGGCATATGTCGGCATAAATAGCGAAACGTGCTCATTACGGGTCAGAAGTGATTTTACCGCGACAAACACGGGTTACGCTTGACGTTTAAAATTATCCAAAGTTTTCTGGTGTGTGGAAAGCAATACTTTTTACTGCGGCAATTCTTTTATCTTAAAATCATAAAACAGAAGAACGCGTTTTAGTTGGAAAAGGGAACAATGACGATTGTTTCTTTTTTGTATCTATGACAATAGAAGCAGGTACCTTTAACTGTTGATAAGCATTTACATATGAACACCGTGTATCTATTGAAATTTAAAATTCAGTCAGTAGTTTGTTGTGATTAGGAAGCAACTATTTTTAAACATACAACAACAACAAACTTAAGCTGGGGAGAACTTTAAATTAAACCAAATTCACTTTACTATTTTTCGTAGTTAATTCAATTATATGTAGAAACTTAATTAGGACAATTAAGGCATAGGTAGGTGGGTATTTAATTAATTTTTTTCTTCTAATGATAAATGGTGACCCCCAGGGTGTTTAAAAATTTCACGAATTATTTTTATTGACAATTACTTTTACGATAAATATAAATTATACTTATCATGATGGCCATTTTTTTGCTATGTCTAGGTAATACAAATTAGAGTACCCTTTTTAAACTCTCCCCCCACCCATCAACCCACTTTTTTACCTCAGTTCTATCCTGTTTTTGACCATTTAATAGGAGAAAATTAAAATTAAAAAAGATGTTGATTATTGGCCAACTAGTAAAAGTTGAAAAAAAAAAATAATTATAATCACAAAAAATTTTTTTCTGGCTTCCCCCTAGGTCGGGGGAAGAAAAAAATTCTTTTTTTATATCCGCAGAAGATACCAATCATTAAAAAAAATCTATTAAAATTAAAAAGTTACAATTATTGTTTAATTTGATTAAAAAAATGATAAAAAAGTTGTTATTGTTGTCGCATTTATTGTTTTGATTGCTGATTCATGAGTCAATTGTGCTGATAATAAGTAAATAAATTGATAAAGAATTTTAATAACATTAATAATTTTTCTCTCAACTCTAAATAATTGGTTTTTTACATGCTGTAGAGACTTTTAATCTTGAAAAGTAAACAAAAAAAATTTATTTAAGTAAAAAATAAAACTTAATTGAAAAAAACTAATTCATTAATAATTCTAAAACAATCGAGTCATTAAAAAAATAGAATAATTCAAAAAGTAATAAATATTTTGGGACATTAACTTCGACTTACTCTATTTAATGCATTAGTGAATTCGAACTTACTTTACCCATTACACATAACCTCAAATTAATAAGGAAATATTTAAAAAAATGTAATTAAAGTTAATTCAAAAGATTAATTCACTAATGCATTGAATTTAACCCTACAATAGTTACGCTATTTACTTCATACACGAAACCTAGAGGTATTACTTCAACCCGAGTAATTTAAACAGTTTTTGGTACAATCGATTCGGTGTTAAACAATTGAATTCGTGACTTCAGTGTAATGGAACATGTCGAAGAAGCACAAGTGGCAAGAACATTTGTTCGGTAAAAATCTAATCAAATGTGAGAGTGCCGACGTTGACGCGGTGAAAACAACGGGAGGGAAGAACCTCGTCCCCTGCATCGATTCGCTCAAGAGGGTTGAAGTGATTGGTGTTTATTTTTCGTTCGCTAATATCAATTTGAAATGTGACGAACTGAAACAAAAGCTGAAAGAGCTCTACAAAAAGATTAATAGTGAAACGAAGAGGTTCGAAGTCGTACAGGTGGTCCTTTGGGCTAATACCGATGTTTACGNGGAGAAAATTAAAATTAAAAAAGATGTTGATTATTGGCCAACTAGTAAAAGTTGAAAAAAAAAAATAATTATAATCACAAAAAATTTTTTTCTGGCTTCCCCCTAGGTCGGGGGAAGAAAAAAATTCTTTTTTTATATCCGCAGAAGATACCAATCATTAAAAAAAATCTATTAAAATTAAAAAGTTACAATTATTGTTTAATTTGATTAAAAAAATGATAAAAAAGTTGTTATTGTTGTCGCATTTATTGTTTTGATTGCTGATTCATGAGTCAATTGTGCTGATAATAAGTAAATAAATTGATAAAGAATTTTAATAACATTAATAATTTTTCTCTCAACTCTAAATAATTGGTTTTTTACATGCTGTAGAGACTTTTAATCTTGAAAAGTAAACAAAAAAAATTTATTTAAGTAAAAAATAAAACTTAATTGAAAAAAACTAATTCATTAATAATTCTAAAACAATCGAGTCATTAAAAAAATAGAATAATTCAAAAAGTAATAAATATTTTGGGACATTAACTTCGACTTACTCTATTTAATGCATTAGTGAATTCGAACTTACTTTACCCATTACACATAACCTCAAATTAATAAGGAAATATTTAAAAAAATGTAATTAAAGTTAATTCAAAAGATTAATTCACTAATGCATTGAATTTAACCCTACAATAGTTACGCTATTTACTTCATACACGAAACCTAGAGGTATTACTTCAACCCGAGTAATTTAAACAGTTTTTGGTACAATCGATTCGGTGTTAAACAATTGAATTCGTGACTTCAGTGTAATGGAACATGTCGAAGAAGCACAAGTGGCAAGAACATTTGTTCGGTAAAAATCTAATCAAATGTGAGAGTGCCGACGTTGACGCGGTGAAAACAACGGGAGGGAAGAACCTCGTCCCCTGCATCGATTCGCTCAAGAGGGTTGAAGTGATTGGTGTTTATTTTTCGTTCGCTAATATCAATTTGAAATGTGACGAACTGAAACAAAAGCTGAAAGAGCTCTACAAAAAGATTAATAGTGAAACGAAGAGGTTCGAAGTCGTACAGGTGGTCCTTTGGGCTAATACCGATGTTTACGGAGACTTTGAAAAAGGACACAGCGACTGTTTACAAAACACCCCTTGGCTCGCCATGTGCTTCAACGAAACGCAACTGAAGGTAAATAGGAAAATGCCACCGAGACGTCGCAGCGTCTCGTATAAGAATAGGGATGAAGCGGTACCTGGTATTAGTGACTTGAACAGATCCTTACTTTCGCATCCGCAAGTACGGAAGTTCCGCATTTTGATTTCATATCCGTTTCCGCATCTGGTTCCACATTTTTTATAACGGAAACTTATCGGAACTTAACAAAATCTTAGTTCTCATCATTCTAAATATCCAATTTTATTCTCTTATGGATTCCCTATTTTAATCTAAAAATGTCCCACACTCCCAGCTCTCCATTTACGGTCCTAATAAATTTATTTCCAAAAATACGAACACAATTACAGCGTTTATTTATTTTGTATAGTATCTGTTCGGTGTTTTAAGGTAAAAGTGCAATTTTGAAGTCAAAAAAAAGTCTAATTTGGAATTATTTTGTTGATATTAACAATGCAAGTGACAAATGCAAAATCTGTAGTAAAATATTAGAAAAAAGGGCAGACAACCGTTGCATTAAAGTCATCTAAAATCATCACACTTCCGCATCCGCTTCCGCTTCCGCATCCGCATCCGCAGAAATACTTCAATTTCCGCTTCAGTTTCCGTTATGACACTTCCGTTGCATCACTACCTTCTGTACATATACGTAGGTATTAATGTTTCACGAACTTCTTTTTCTTGTCTCGTTCTTGCTGCA